CCCGGGCGTAATCCCGGGGATGACGGCCCCCATGGCCTCCATGAGGCGGGGAACTAGGGCCACTACTAGGGCCTCCAGTTCCCCGCCGCTCAGTCCCGCGACCACAGTGGGCGTGTTGTCGGTCGAGGGGTGCCCCCCTCCCGCAGACCCCTGTGGTCGCCAGCCAACGATACGGCGGGCCGCGGGGATTGCCCCCACGCCCGCCGTCACCACAACCGTGGTCTTCTTCTTCTTCTTACTCTTCTTTTTCCTCCCCTCGGGTGGGTGTTGAGCCGCCCCCTCAATGGGACCGTTGCGGGCCCGGAGAGGGAGGGCCTCCCTTTGGGGAAGAGTTCCCTCCCTTATATCCTTCGCCACCTCCTCCCGACACTGTTTCCCGATTCTTTCTTCGTCGGGAGTCGGGAGGAGTGGCAGGGTGGTCCCGACGCCTTCCCCAGCCATCGATTCCTCCTCACTGGAGGTTGACGGGAGGCGCCGGGACATCGTCCTCTTCTTCTTTTTTTGTTTTGTGGGCTCAGAGGGGAGCGGGGATTCCTCCCCAGCGTCCTCCGCCCTCTTCCTCTTTCGATCGGCGGACGAGTCACGAGACGTGTGGCCCGTCCGCCGATCCACCTCCATGGCTGGCAGATGCAGCTCATCTATCTCCATTGGTGAGCTGGAGGGGCCGGATGCTCGGGCCCTCTTCAGCTCACCATGCAGGCGGTCGACCTCGAGCCGAAGCAGAGCGCCCTCTACTCGTAGGCGCTCCATTTCGGCCGAGGCCGCCTCCCGCTCCATCCTGGCTACCTCGCTCTGCTCAGAGCCGTCAATAATTTCGGTTCTCTGAGCTAGAGCGAGGCGGCCAGTGTGGCCGAGGCGTCCCAAAGGGACCCCTTATAGGCTCCCTTCAAGTTCTTGGACCGCTCCGCGACCTTTTTCACCTCGTCGACGGCCTTTATGGCCATCGACGAGACTTCAGCGGTCTGTTTAGACCGCAGGTCGCGGAGGATCCTCCCCTCCTCCTCTTGCGTTCGGAGGGCCCTTTTCGATTGGGCACGCATAGCAGGGTCTTTGATCCGCTCTACGTCCGCGATTGCGTCGCGCTCCTCCTTCTCTTTTTTCCTATATGCAAGAGCGGCCGCTGTGTGGTCCCCTGGAAGGGAACGCGTGGCAGGCCGCCCCCGCCCATCCTTCTTGGCAAACCTCTGCTGATTTTGTGCGGGGGAGACCGACCGCGAGCTAATGTCACCGTCGCTA